AGCTCCTGTAGAGTAACGAAGCCTCCTCTTCAGGGGTGCGCGTCTCTGGGTTCTGTTTTGCACGATGCCTCCTTGTAGTTAAAACTCCCAAACTTCTAGCATCCACAAGTTAATGACTCATGATCACACGAGAAAAAAATATTAATTAATAAAAGATGACTGCCTTTTCTACGTATTTTGACTAACAATAATCACTTGTTTTTACTATGATGAACTGTTATACTCAAAACTATCAGAGTTTACTTACAAAATGATGCTTCCAAAAAACCTCCCACAAAAAACCTAAGTGTAATCTCAGAGGACCAGAGGGAAGTAGGGAATAAAATATATTGGAAAAATGAATGGCTAAAACAGGTTTCAAATTTTGTGAAAACTATAAATCCATAGGGCCAAGGAGTACAGAGTATTCCAAGCAGAATAAATGAATATACACAAAGACCGCTCCAAGGAATATCTTAAAACTGCTGAAAACAAGTGATAAATAGGAAATTTTAAAGGAACCTAAAGTAGAAGGACACATGCAGAATAAAACAAAGACAGGAAATACTGGACACTTCTCATGAGAAATAGCCCTGGCCAGTGTACTCAGTTGGTTATTAGCCAACCTGAACTATCAGAAATGCTAAACAAAGTTTTTTAGGTAGAAGGAAAATCGTATTTCAGTAGGGGACCTGGATCTACACAAAGGAATGAAAAGCTCCAGAAATGCTAAGTCTGTGAATCCATAAAAATATTTTATTTCTCAGTTTAAATATAATTTTCTTTAAAGATAATTTACAATTTTAATAGAGATTCCACCAGTTAGAGCAATTAAGTGAGGCAACCAACTGCAACTCTCTACTTGTTTTCTAAGTAGATCCTGTTATTTGTTGCAATATACATCAGTGTAGATGAGTGCAGAATTATCCAAATAATTTTGTGTGGCCCAGGTAAGGCACCCAGGAATACATAATTAATTCAATCTACCTACAAAGTTAATACAGCAACTCCTAATGGTCTTTGCTATATAAAGTACTCTGTTGACCACAGGCAATTTTTATTCTGCTAGAAGACCCTCAGAGTCACAGTGCTAAGCTGAGAGTTCTTCCCATAAACTCACTTTTGTAACATATTTAAGAACATTTACACACAAATCATTTTAATTTTGTAAATGAAACCCCAAATCTGCATTGCTTTTTCTCTTACATATTAATTCCACTAGGTGGAGACATTTGCCCAGTTTTGTGGTCCACACTAAAGAGGCTGGGGATAGCAAGCACAGTAAGCAGGGGAACAAGTCAGAAAAAAGGAAAAGAGCTTGGACAAGACCTGGTGCTTTGCGTTATATTAGCTTGGCAGATGTATCCACATTGCTACACAGTGTGTAGTATTTGCTTTTAATGTTTAGCAAAGAAAAGTAGCAAGTTGTCTAGGTTGATAGTATACTTTTTTTGCTTTTGTTCCAATGATTTGAACTTAAAAATAGCCACTATGGGTTGAATAGATTATTAAACATGCATCTTAAATGTTTTCATTTAATCCTGTTTGACAGTTCTTGCATTCAACAGTAATGTATTAAGTAAGGATCTATAACAATAATATATATCCTGATTTCACTGTATTTCAGATATTTCATATTTTTAAAGATGATAATATAAGGACTATTGTTACTATAAACATATCTTTATGTAATACTTTAGTCTTTTTAAAAAACTACTCACTCGAGGATATACTTTTATTGATTTTAGAGCAAGAGGAAGGGATGAGAGGGGGAGAGAGAGAGAGAGAGAGATCGGTTGTCTCTGCATCTACCAGGGATCGACTGGGGATTGACTGGGGACCCAGAGGATCCTGGGGATTGAACCTGCAATCTGGGCATATGCCTTGCCCGGGAATCGAACCCAAAACACTTTGGTGCACAGGACTATGTTCCAACAAACTAAGCCACACAGGCCAGGGCTACTTTAGTCTTTTTAATAGTAGCGTCAGGTAAATTGACACCTCTTCAAATGATGGGAAACAATATTTTTTGAATATGCTATGCAAGTGACAAAAATGTGTGAGACAGTTCTTAAATAAAATATAAAAGGTCCAATGTATTGTGGGAATTTTTTTTTCAGTTTGAAGCTTTTGTTGTCATCTTGGGTTTCTAATTTTCTGTTTTTATTGGTGCCAACATTATATGGAAACAATATCTTTTTACTTAAATAGGAAATTCATCTGCTCTTTATTTGAAGTCATAATGCTCTGTGTCATCATTCAATTTACTTCAAGGAAATAAGTCCCTGAAATGTTGAATTTTCTGAAAGCAACCCAATTCTGTTTTTGTGTGACTGGTTTCTTTAAAAGTCTTTCTTGTATGAGTACTATTGTCTCTAATTTTATTGTTTTAAAGATTCTCTATTAATTATCTACAGCTGTTCTCATAAATTGATTAAAAACACAACAGACTTTTGTCTTCCAATCCCTTAGAGGAAATTTAGTGATTGATTTAGTTTTCATTTTACATCTGTGGGGAAAGGATGACAAATCAGATGTTTATAAAAGTACAGTGTTATTAGAAAAAATTCCAATTTTTCATATCTAATAGATCTGGTACCAGTTTAAAGTGATACATTTGATTTTTTGTTTCAAACAATCAGTATACATTGGGTAAAATAAGATGTCTAGTCACCCACAGATGTGACAATTGGTATTCTCTTCAGGATGAAGGCCTGGCCCGCCAGCTGGTGGAGCTCGGCTACCGAGGGACCGGGGAGGTGGTGAAGAGGGAAGATTTTGAAGCAAGGAAGGCAGCCATAGAGATTGCACGGCTGGCTGAGCGAACTCAGAAAAAGTAAGTGTCCATGTTCCAAATGTAGATTTTATAGTAATTGTAGAGCCCCTCGAAAAATTCATTTTGTTGTCATTGTTGCAATTTGGAAACACTGGTTGTTGGGGGCTGAACTTGAAATATCCTAAAAGTGTGTTCTGCAGATTAGGAACTGGAGGAACTGTGGATTGCTTCCAAGAAAGCCGTATGCAGCTTTGAGCTACTAAGTTAAGAAATATGGTCATCATACCAATAAAGTCCTGTAAAATAGTAACTCAGTATCATTGGTTTTATATATTTATACACTAAAAATATGAGTGACTTTTGCCTTAGAATTCTTTGTACTTCTGAGGCCTGTAGAGACTTGGCATCTTTATGTTCTCACATTTTTGTAAACATTGATTCATTCAACTCTATTAATGATCACTGGCTTTTGTTACTGTGACTAAGATATGGTTATATAAAATATGAATCTAATAAAATATATGAAACATGTTATAAAAGAGATGTACACCTACAGTGAATTGTATGAAACTGGTAAGATAACTTGAAAAAGGCTTGACAAAGTGATTACCTATTTCCCTTTTAAAAATGAATGCTCAAGTTGTAAATGTTGGAGAACATAATAACTTAGAAATCAGTATATTGTTCCTAGGTAACACTTTAAAAAGCATCCAGTAATTATGAGTAGAAATCACCCATGTATTTATTATAAAAAATAACATTTGGTAGTGGAATATGAATTGGTTCTGGGAATGTACAGTTTTAATGGATTGTTCTAGTGGTTACCGTATTTCAGAACCATAGAATATTGGAATTTAATATACTGATATTTAGTAATATATCAATTTTTTTGTCATTGCCGTAGCACATTACTACAAATAGTGGCATAAAAGAACACAAATGTTTATTTATTCACAGTTCTGTGGGTCAGAAGTCAGAGTATAGTGGCTCAGATGGGTTCTCTGCTCAGTTTATCACAAAGTTGAAGTCCTGGTTTTGGCTGCGCAGAGTTCTTGCCTGAGGATGAGTCTGCTTCCATGCTCGTTCAGATTGCTGGCCAAATTTAGTTCCTTGTTAGTGTAGGACTAAGGTCTAGTTTCCTTGTCAGCTGTCATGTGCTTTCCAAGTGGTCCCCAGCCAGCAAGAGTCAGTCAAGATTCTCTCAGACTTCAAATCCCTCTGACTTCCCCTTCTGCAGGATCTCTCCTGTCTCCAGCCAGAGAAAGCTCTCTCCTTTTAAGAGCTCATGTGATCATACTGGGCCCATCTAAATAATCCAGGGTAATCTCCCTATTTTAAGGTCTGTAACCTTCATTTAAGGTCTGCAAAGTCTCTTTTTCCATGTAATGTAACATATTAACAGCTTCTAGTGATTCATGAGCACCCGTGGAGGGGGAGCATTCTATTTACTATAGGTATTTATATAAAACTTCAATAATTGATTCAACATAGTTACATTCAACTTATACTCTTAGAAAATTGAAATGATGCAAAGTACGTGTGTACAACGTGATGCGTCTTACATAAAACATCAAGGAAGCCTTCCTGTAGATATCAATAAATGCTTATTAGTCAGGGGCAGAAGTAGATATTTGTGAGATTTTATAAGGAATTAGTGTATATTCATATTTTATTATATATGTGTTCTATTTCATATCAAGATGAGTTGGTCATGTTTAAAATGTAAATTTTATCCATGTACATGTCCGTTTTGTGTTTGAGGATCAAAGTGGGAATTTACTCTCTGCAATAGACTCTTTAACTGGCCAGAGCTGGAAGTCATTACACTACTTCAGTGCCAGTCGTGGGAGACTAATCCCCGCCCAGAGCTGCTAGAATTGGAAGGCCCTTTCATCTACAGGTCTTCTCAGCCTCCCTTTGTAATGGGTGGGCTCCATATGTTTCCTCTTGCCCCATGTGGGAGTCACTTTGCTCCCTTCCCTGCCAGATCCATTGTAGTGTTATTTGCAACAGGGCCCATAGAGAGTGTCCTAGATCCAAACACGTCCTGTGCCTGTATTTGCCAGAGGATCACTTTGAAAATATGCATGAATGTCTGACTGCTTGCCAACCGGTACCAACTCGACAATACTTCATTCTACTATTGGATTATCTTACATTAACTCCTCTAACATGCAGTGAGCAGCCTCAAGATGCTCGTAATCCTCTGTTCTAGCAATCAGAGAGCACCCATTTCAAGAAGTGAGGGCACCTAAGATCATGTCACTTACTTGTAATAGTTTCATAGGGAAAGAGTCTGGATAGATAAAAGTTAAAGATATCAGGAAGGGATATTTTGATAAGTATTTTGCCAGAAGAAGGCATAAGGTGAAGAAAATTATTCTGGGCTATTCAGTAATTCACAAATACTCATAGACAACCATATTGCATTAGACACCATGTTTGGTGCTGGGGATAATCTAGAACATAACACTTAAGTCCCTGCTCTCAAGAAACTTGAGATTTAGATAAATGAAGGGCAGTTACATTGCTGGTGAAATATAAAATGGAAAACATTTTGGCAGTTCTTCAAAAAGTTAGAGTTGCCATATGACCCAGCATATACCACTCCTAGGTATATATACCCAAGGGAATTGAAAAGATAGGTCCACTTAAAAGCTTACACACCAATGATCATAGTAACATTATTCACAGTAGCCATAAAGTGAAACATCCTAAGTGTCTATCGAGTGACGAATGGATTAAAAATGTGGCATGTAGATCCAATGGGATATTATTCAGCCATAAAAAGGAGCAAAGTGCTGTTACATGCTACAACATGGATAAACCTTGAGAACATCAGGCTAAGGAAAAGAAGCCAGACAAAAAGACTACATATTGTACAGTTCCATTTATATACAATTTCCAGAGTAGGTAAATCCCTACAGACAGAAAGTAGACTTGAGGTTGGAAGGAAGAGTGATTGGAGAATGACTACTAATGGGTCTGGGGGTTCTTTTTGGTGTGATAAAATGTTCTACAATTAGATATTGATGATGATTGCGCAACTTTGTAAATATACTGGGAACCATTGAATTGTACACCTTAAAACTTTAAATTTTATGGTATGTGAATTGTATCTCAATAAAAAGGCAATTCCAACAGGAGATAATATATATGTTGTCATAGGTGCTGTGGTGACCCCCTGAAGTAATACTAAGTAAAGATTTGGGGGGCTGTGAAGAGCTGGGAAAGCTCCTTGTAAGGCCTAGCTGCTAAATTTACTCTTCAAAGATAAGTAGGAGTTAATCAGGCAAAGGGGAGCATATAGATGGACACATCCATGTTGCCTCAGCTCTATGATAAATTCTCCTTCTCTCACAAACCATTCCCCCTACCTCTGTGTCTTCATCTGGACCTGTTCTCTTGCTGAAAGTTTTTTCCTATGACAGCTGGAGGCCATTCGTTTCCATAGTTACTTGGTGGTGGCTGGTGGCGGTGGTGGCTAGGTTCTTCATTCTTTTTATTCTCCTCGGTCCCTCAACCTTTGCTTCATAACCACTTCTGTTTTCACTGTCACGTCAACCTCATCTCTCCTCCACTGAGGTCCATGCCAGCTGGATGTAGTCATCATAAGGCAGAGGCTACAAAGGTCGGAAAGAAGGATGGGAGTAGTTTAGCTGCTGGTCGTTTTTTCAGGACTGAGTTTTCTTTCCCCCAGGGGCTGGCTGTGGTAGTTACTGAGATAACTACCGTCACAAGCTCCAGAGAATTTCTATTTTTATTGAGAAGTTCATTTGATCTCCACAGGCAGTGGAGAGATGGACCTTGACTGTTTGCATCACAGGTTGAACACTGAGGTCTTGGGGTCTGGTTAGTAGTTATAACTGAGTGGCCTCTCAGGCTGAACACTCCCCCGGGCGAGCTTGTGAGATGATCAGCCTCCTTGCTTTGGGTGAGCTGATCTTGTAGAGGATGAATTAGCCCTTCTTAAAACCACTCCTAGGATAATGATCTTATTTTCCTGAAACACAGCATCGGAAACATAGATAGATGGAGCAGGTGGTAGCCCTGATGGAGCTGGTAATGTACCGGTTGTCTGTCGTATCTTCTCGAGAGACTTTATGACCAGCCTTTGGAAATTCCTGTAAGGGGTCCCTGTACTAGCCTAACAGGAGTCTTGGATGCTGAGTGCAAAGGAATAAAGAAGAGAACATTTATAGTGATTTAGGGGAAGGTGCATGTGTCCTTTTAGCCTCAGGTATATCTAGAACTAAGTGTAAAAGCTGGGCAAGACCCCCACCTTCTTATCCTGGCCAGTCTAGTCAAGTTGTCACCTGTCAACTACTTTCTGTTATGATTTGGAGATGTTCTTATTCTGATTATATATGTCTCAGAACTCATCAAATTATACACTTAAAACGTAACAGTAGATCTGACTATAAAAAATGAATTACTAAAATAAAAATCTTCCTGCCTGGCTTCAAAGAGTACGTTAGCTGACAACTTCCAATGAACTCTTTGTTGATCAGCCTCAGCAGCTGAGCAGATGTCATGCCCTCGGAGCAGCCTCCTCAAGTCACTGAGCAGGACAGTGGCTCACGAGCAGGACAGTGGCTCATGAATATGGGACCTCTAACAGGCAATTTTTGCTCTGCTGTCCCTCCACTGGTCTGGCAGAGACTTTCCAGGTGGGCATTAAGGTCTGACAGCTAACCCTGTTCAGTCTAGCTCCCACCCTTTTCAGGATGAGAACATCTCCATCACCCCAAAAGCTTCTTCGTGCCCCTTTGTAGTTGTGTGTGCCTCTTTCCCAGCAGCTGACTACCACTCATCTGATTTCTGTACCTTGAGTTTTGCCTTTTCCAGAATGTCATATAAATGTAATCATATAGCATGTAGCCATTTTTTCACTACAAAAGGCTTTTGAGACCATGTGGTTGCATGCATGCTTGTTCTTGCTTGTTGCTCAGTAATATTTTATTTAATGGGTGGACAGTAATGTGTATACACCCAACTCCAGTTGGTAGATAGTTGGTTGTTTCTAGTTTTAGGATTTTTTGATAAACCTGCTGTACATA